AAGCCTGGAAAATGTAAAGAAATATTTTTTGTCTACAGATTCTTGCAGCAGCATTCGCAGCTACCCAACCTTATTAGCACAGAGCGTGATATCTTACCTTGTAAACATTTCCCAAATTCAGATAGGCATCTGAGAAGTTAGGTTTCAACTTGACTGCTTCCTAAAAATAGAACGAAATGCACGTAACTAAGTAAGCATGCAGGAGCACCCAGCTCAACCAAGTTCCAGTATGATAAACAAAAACAAATCAAATTATCAGCAGCCAAGCCAATAGTGAACTTAAATCAATCAAGGATTAACGAAAATATGATTCACACCTTGTAGTACTGCAGAGCCTTGTTAAGATCACCTGCATCCATGAAAAGGCCAGCAAGATTGGACCATGCAATGGCAAAAGTTGGTTGTATGCGGAGAGCCTTGACATAGCAACTGTATGCCTAGCCAAAAAAAATAAGCTCAAAACAATTTAAAAGCATATATATGATTGAAAAAATTGAAATCAAGAGTTGAACTTGGTTAGCACAAACAGCAAGCTAATGAAGCAGTTTTATAAAACATTATAGATCTTTCCAAACATAAGGCCAATATACAAGTTGGTGTACTTGAAGTTTCCGAGAACCAGAGAAGAAGAGATCAAAGGGGAAGGCAGGGGAAGGAGATAACGTTAGCTGCAAGCCAACACCAATTTCATCAATTCATATTCACCGTCTCCTTCATTCCGATTACAAGACCATATTAATAACAAAACATAAGCCTACTAGTGATGGGCTTGGGCCAACCCAGTAATACAAACTCAACTAAATAAAACATAAGCAAATGGTCCATGAGAAAATAAGATGGCCCAAACATGTGATGTCCTCACAAGTCCTAATTACCAGTTAAAAAAAGTAACCAATCAGGATAATGATAAACAGTCAGTAATTAGCAGGCCTTAAATTCAGATGACTATGAGACAAATAACCATGTAGGTCAGCAAATTAATCAATTATTCTATAAGTTCACTATCCTACAATCAAAACGTTATGATTCTATTCCATGCTCCATACTTGACATTAATTATAGCGTGTTATGCTTAAAAGAGGAATCAACAAATGTTGAACCGTTTCAACACTTACGATGCTTAGCTAAGACAAATAGGAACAGAAGGTTAAAGAAAAACGAAGTGGAGTTCACTGGGACTTACATCTTGCATTAATCCTTGAGCTTTCATCAGATTTCCAAGGTTACTATGAGCATCAACCTAAAACAGAGGTCAAAGTTAAAAGAAAAAAGATAGAAAAGCAGCCTATACTGTTAAGATAGATAAATAATGAAATCATCAAGAATTAAATTTACCAAAGAAGGATTCAATGCAAGAGCCTGACGGCAACATTGAGCTGCTTCATTTAGCCTTCCATTCCGCATGTAAGCACTAGCTAAGTTTGACCATGCATCAGCAAAATTAGGGCAAAGCTGCAATGCATACATTGAGATTCAGTTATTTGTCCAGGATCACATAAGACAGAGCTCTGCTCTTCTGCCCCCACCCCATTCTCCTTTTTGGCTTCTTTTGTATTTTATTTCTTTTCTGTGTAAGGAAAACAAAACAGATTGCTAAGATGACAAATATTTTAAACATTTGCACTCCTATCCAACAAGATATTAGATGAAATGACCAATATATCCTCTGAATTGGATCGTAAATTTACTTGTCAGAGGATTAATCCCTTTTAAGATAAAGAATGCAGGACCAAAATATTTTTAAGACCGTCAGATTTGCAACAATTCATTGTATGGTAATCAAATTAGCTAAATATTTCTCATTTTCACCGGATTGAGAAGTAGGCATAAAAATCTTATATTTGAAACAGTAGCTGATCCTCTTAAAACTAAAGTAAGAATGAGAAACTTGGATTACAAGATCTTTAAGAACACACAGACCTCAATAGCAATCAAATAATAGCGAATTGCAACATCACTATTGCCTTTCTCCTGTTGCAAAGAAAAAGAGAGACCATATAACAAACATTGAAATAAAAATAAGAAGAAATCACCACCAATATGCATGATAGGAACATACCTTCCAAGCATTGGCCATATTTCCATAGCACTCAGCGAAATTTGGATTAATTTGGAGAGCTTCTTCGTTCTTTGCGATGCACATATCAAAATCATGTAACTAAAACAACAAAAACAGCCCAGACCTCTTACTTCACATAATCATAAATCTTGTTCAGTCTGCAGTAAAAAAATGGCGAGAACGAGAAATAAAACAATATAAACACAGAGATATTGTGAGCATGAAAACCTGATAATAAATTGCACCCAACAAAAGAAGGTTATCAGTGCGACATGGATCTCTCTCGTAAACATTCTTGCTGTGTGCTAGTGCCTCCTTATAGTTCCCAGATTTGTAGTACTGATGAGCAAGATTCAAGAGGATGTCCTCGCCAACTGTGGCATGAGAGAGAGAAAAAACTTAGCAATGAAAAATGCCATCAAACAACATAAAAACGAAACTTGTTGAATATTAAGCCCCCGTTTGACACCCATTAATTTCTTATTTTCATTCTCATTCTCATTCTTCATTTCACCCACACAACTTATTCTCATTCTTCATTTCAACCATACATTCTTCAAATAAAATAATATTACACACAAATCAAAAAATTTTCATCACTTTTCCACCACACATTCTCACATCAATCACTATTCCAAAATTTTTATTCTCCTCAAAATTAGATTCAAACACACCCTAAATAAAACATGTATCAATGTCATTCATCAACATTGTTTGTTTAAAGTAAAAACACCAACCTGGGTAGCTGCCAAACAATAGAACGTGTACTGAAAAAGACTACAGTCAGCTAAATTTATTTAGACCCAAAGTTTACCTCAACACAAGCTCATATTATTTATCTCAAATCATTATGTTGATTAGATAACCTTCTATACTTCAAAAATTTGACTCAAATTGGGATGCAATATAACTTATCTTACATCTATCTCAATCGGGATGATTAAATTCCTCCTCACGGTCAACCTTCCATGCTACTCATGTCTGCCTATCGGTATCATTATCCAAGTTATATACTTCACCAACCATAACATAATATCCATGATAGACCTTATTCTAATCATTTTAAAATATCTGCAATAAAACTATATTCAATAGACATTCACAAAATCACTAATCAAAAACATCTTCAAAATTTATTCACTGGCTTTAGATTTTTTGTTTGGTGCATTAAAAAAGGGGGGAGAGAGAGAAGAAATCCTCATGACATGATAAGATAAGTTGACTCTAACCAAACATGCATCTACGGATATACATTTTTATCTAAACTACTAAATAACTGATGCTTTGGAAACAGAGGATATCAACCCGAAAAGTCTTTCATTGCTAGCTTTACTCTTGTGAGTTCAACAGTTAAAAAATTCATATTTATTCAATGTTTTAAGGCAAACAGATCTTTGCCTCGCATATATTTCCTAAACCAGCCTTTATCATATTCAATTAAAACCCTACTTTTGGAAAAGTTAAATAACAAGTAAAGAAATCTGCTTTGCCAAAGTGGTGAGACTGCTAATTTATCTGTCATTATAGATGAACTTTTCTTCGAGAAAGAAGATTTTCTTTACAATTTTTCGTCAGATAAAACCTCACTAATCAGTTGTTTTCACATAAAGAACTTTTCCAAATCAAATTTATATTTTAAGAATATACTTTTGCATGAATACAAAAAAAATGTGAAATTTTATATATAGATGTAAGTGTCCAAATAAAATTGACTTGAATAATTGTTGAGCCACTGACATCTCAAATTCTCAATTTTGCATCACCAAATTAAGCAACTGAACTCGAGTATCAAGAGTTCAAGATTTTCAAGGACATGATCCATAGGACTCCCCTCGTTGTTTTGTGTACACTCATACAGTATTTTGCAATGTAATAAAATGCTCAATTAAAACATACTTATTATGATTATTGTTATTGTTATTGTTATTATTGTTATTATTTTGAAAAATCATGTGAATTCCTTTTTACAAGAGTGCAAGTTTTATAACACAAATATCATTTCCAATCTTGATTCGATTAGGTTTTGGATCTTCAGCACCACATAAACTCTTTCTCTCGATCCATGTTTTTTATTCCTTTTCTATAAAGTAACAGAAAATTAAGTTAGAGGATATCGAGCATGTTTGGGAGTGCTCATGGAGCATGTTTGGCTTAAAAGAATATTTGGCAACAAAGAAGCATAAAAGAAGCATAAAAGTAACTTTTACTTCTTAAGCTTAGCCATACATGCTCATAATCCAAGGTGCTGAAGGGGGTAGTGGGGGCTGGCATGAGAGGTAGGCCAGATGATGATAAATTTTCTCTCTTTCTTTAATTAGTACTAATGTTTGTTTAATTGAAAATAATGGTACTAAGAATTTTGAACCAAAGTCTTTGATTATGTGCAAAATATGTGACGTTTGACAGACTTCTTAAATGGAATGCCCATGGAGAGACACAAGTACCATAAAAAACTGAATGAGGAACCAAGTGCTCATTTAAGGATAACAAAGGAACCATAGATGTAATTGTGCCTACAAGTAACGAAGTAACTTTGCTCTAGATGTTGTAACGACCTGACCTCCGTGCCCAAATAGTTAACTTACGTACTACTAGAATTCAACTTACGTCTCTCTTAAAGGACAAGTCATAGGTTTAAATGTTGGGGACGATACAGAAATCCTTGAGAGATAAAATGGGCTTAAACTCTCCCAGAGCGGACATTACTAAGTTAACAGCTTGAACAGAGATGTCAGGTCATTATAACCTTATCCATCACAAATTTCTATCGTATCATTCAACTTAAGTCTCTCTTAAGGGAAAGGTCATGAATTCGAATCCTGGGGACGCAACAAAAATCCGTAGGGGATAAGATGGGCACAGACTCTACCAAAGCAGACGGTCCATAAATTAACGATTTGGGTATAGAGGTCCGGTCGTTACAAAAAAACTGGTACCAATTTAGGCAACTTGTCCAATTGGTACTTGAATTCCTTAAATCTCTCTTAAGGGAAAGATCATGGGTTCAAATCTCGGGAATGCGACAAAAATTCGCGAGTAAAATGGGCCCAGGCTAACTCAAAGCGGGCAATACGTAAGTTAACGAATTAAACACAGAGACTGGATCGTTAGAAAATTTATTTTTTTTATAACGACTAGACCATTATGCCATAACCGTTAACTTACGTATTGTACGCTCTGAGAGAGTCTAGCCCTTCTTACCCTTCAAATTTCTATTGCGTCCCCAGAATTCGAACACATGACCTCCCCTTAAAAGAGTTAACTTGAATCCTGATACCAATTGGCAAAAAGAGCTTTAGGACGCGACAAAAATTCGTGAGGATAAAATGGACTGGGATCTCTCAGAGTAGATACCACGTAAGTTAACGACTTGAGCATTGAGGTCGGGACGTTACAGATATACTTTAAAATTCTTTTATAAATAATATTGAGAAACAATATTTCCACAAAAATGGGGTACAAATTTTAATACTAAAAAGTGCGTATTTATTTGTAGGAAAAATATTATTTCCAAGTCTTGTTTCAGTCAGCTCTGTATCTCCAGCACCACGATCATGTAAACTCGTCTCCAGGACTATGCTTTTATTCCTTTTCTAAACATTCACAGAAAAATCTGGTTTATGGAGAGAATACTTTGATACGTTCATACTAGTCCACAACACTAAATCCCATTGTTATTATACTAACTATTACTAGACTGAGATTATAATATATCATCACTAAATTTTCTTCCGAACATAATTGCTCATATTTCAACATTTCATATTTCATGATCAGAATGCCCGTGCCCCATCACCCGGTAAACTCAGGGAAAGATCTCAAAATAGTCCAACTAATCACTCCCAATGGAATGGTCAATAACCTTTAGGATTAACAAAGATGAGGATCCAGCATGGAAATAAACACACAAAATAAACCATTCTTCTTTCAAGTGACCCTATAAACATTCATTTCTGCTACCATAAAAACGATAGCATCATTCAGTACCTTTCTATCCAAAAGGAAAAAGAAAAACTAAAAATAAATTTTTTTTCTATATACATAGGTGAAGTCACCAGGACAAGGCAGTAGTGCAATGCCAAAGCACTTCACAAGAGCCAAAGTAGCAAGTTATTGCTGTGGACTGTCCTCAAAAAATTAATTTCTACGACAACTTCACTCAACATTCGCAACATAGCATCACAGCCCTGATACTGATCAACAAAAGATTCGTACATGCTCAGGAACTCTGACAGGAAAAATAGTTTAATACTGAAATGAAAAAGTATTCCACTAAAGAAGAGGCCTAAATTTATGAGCTATAAATCACTTCGAAGTCAATTTTTTATAAATTTCATGATCCTAAAATCAATTCACTGAATTCAAAACTAAGAATAAGTATAGAGAATTTAGGAATTAAATAATCATGATTATATAACAGTTCTCCAACACAAATCATCATAAAATCTAAAACCCAAGAATTCTCACATTACCAAACTAAAAGTTTCAGATTTTCAACAAAACAGCAACAAAACATCCAAAATTTCCCATCAATTCAAAACCCTAAATTTCCTAAAACATTAATTAACCACAAAACGCCATCTTCCATTAAAATAACCCTTCAAACTTGTTGAATTTGCCAAAATCAGCACTTCCAAACTAAATAAAAATAAAAACTGACCAATTAATTTAAAAAGTAACAATAACCTTCATGAGAAAGCTCGGGCTTAATATTTCTATCGGCCGAGGCCAAGGACGAATCCTCTCGGTGATGATCACCAGCAGCAACATTGTATGGAACCCTAGCATTAGCAACCTGCTGCATCCGGCGCAGATTAAAATTGTACAGCCGCGGCTCGCTCTGCAACGAGAGCATGCTTTGATTCTTAAATTATCAGTTCTTCAAGCCAGAGTAGAAATTCACCAGACAGAAGAAGGGAAATTAATATCCGAGGGCTTTCATGGGAATGGGAGTAGGAATTGGATTACAAGTCTGTCAAATTTCCCGGCGAGAGAATAAAGTTGGAGAAAAAAAAGTGGGAAAGTGAACCCAATAAAAATCCGTTTGTCTGAATGTCTCTCTGTCGGTTAACAAATTACCGTTTTCTGCTCTTTAAGTACGTAGGCCTTGGCAGATATTCTCATTTTCTACAGTAAATCAATTCTTATT